AATCGATGATTTCTCTGGTCATTAACCACTCGTGTTTAAACAAGCTTATTCTGCTATCTTATACTAATATATGTATAGATATACTAATGCACCCAAACTTCGTACGACACGAATGTAAAAATGAGCAGTGGAATATCCCACATTAATCATAAACAGGAATTCAGTTGTTGAAAGAAAAATTTACCTTCAAAATATTAGCTCTGTCATGTGAAAAATCTATTAAATTTTATAACACATTATTTAGGATTAATGTATCATTACTATTGAAGATTTGTTCCATAGTCTTAAGACTTTGCATTTAATATGAAAAAATTCAGAACACGATAATGCACAATTCACTCATTCACGAACAAACAAATTTCCCTAATAGTAAATACTTGCACTTGTTTTCTACCGGAGATGGACCAATTCATACTTAACGTACATTTTATTGCACCAACAATAAATAACAGCATTTGCTAATGCCCACAATTTCGGAGTGACACAACTTGTCACTTGAAGGAAAATTATATTCGCTAAAGTAACTTTAGAACAAGGCTTAAAGCCTATCACAACGCCATGTGGCACGAAAACTTCTGCATAAGAAACTGATTTCAGTACGGGGCTTGACAACTTCGGCATGAGGCTTGGCAGCTTTGCCATGAAACGATATGATTTCTATACGGGGTTTGAGATCTTCGGAATGAGACTTGACAGCTTTGGCACTATACTCGACAACTTCGGCAAGAGGCTTGACAGCTTCGGCATAAGGCTTGACAACTTTTGCATAAGGCTTGACAACTTCGGCATAAGGCTTGACAACTTCGGCATAAGGCTTGACAACTTTTGCATAATGCTTGAAAACTTCGGCATGAGGCTTCACAACTTCGGCACGAGGCTTGATAACTTTGGCATAAGGCTTGCCAACGTCGGCATAAGGCTCGACAACTTCGGCACGAGGCTTGACAACTTTGACATGAGGCTTGACAACTTTGGCACTAGGCTCGACAAATTGGGCATAAGGCTTGACAACTTCGGCACTGGGCTGTAAAATTTCGATACCTGACCAGACAACTTGGACTGCTGCAATGGGTTTGGCAAACTTGGGTATTGGGCTAGACAACTTTGGCACAGGGCTTGACAACATCGACACAGGGCTCGGCGAATTTAGCATGGAATCCTCACCTTTGGCACGGGCTCTATAACTTCAGTGTGGGAATTAAGAAATTTGGTAAGGTGCTTTGAAAATTTGACTGGAGTTATTGATGATTTCGGCGAGGGGCTTTTACACTTCGGAATTGAGCTGACCTTTCGGGCCGGTGGTTAGATAATTTTGTCAACTTGCTGCACAAATTCGTAAGAGGGCTTGAAAATTTCGCTATGTGGTTTGAAAACTTCAGTATGTGGTTGTAAAACTTGGGTATGGAGCTAGAAAACTTTGGTTGAGGCTAGAAACTAGGGAATATGGCTAGAAAACTTGACATGATGCTCGACCATGAGGCTTGGTAACATTGACATGAGGCTAGAGAACTTCGGCGTGGGGCTAGAGAATTCTGAACAAGCCTAGAGTACCTACGTACTATTAACGAGGCTAGAGAACACCGAATAACGCTATAAAACTTCTAACAAGGCTAGAAAGCGTTAAACGAGGCTAGAAAACACCAAACGAGAATCGAGAACTTTAAAAGCGGCTAGTAAACTTTGGCACAAGGCTAGAGAACTTTGAACCAGGCTAGAAAACATCAGCATGAGGCTAGAGAACTTCGAAAGAGGCTAGACAACATTGACCAAGCTTGTCACTGGCACTGGACTAGTTGTAACTTATGCACAAAGCTATGTAACTTCAACAAGAGGCTAGAGACCTTTTGAATTAGACTAGGGAACTTTACAATGAGCTTCAAGGAACTTGGTGTAAAGCTTGATCCTTTCGGAAATTGGATTAATTACTTAAGCATAGAGATTGATAACTCTATCAGGAAACAAACTGAAATGGGTCATAGAAATGAAAAAATTGAAAATAGACTAATTTAAGTTTGTAATGAAGGTAACTAGGTTTGCTTTACAAAGCAAAAATTTGCGCAGTATCAGTTATGAAATTCAATGGTAAAGAACCAAGGCAAAACTTGATCCTTAGAAGTTTGTGGCCTGAATTATACCATACTCAATGTTTGGGGTATGTCACAGTTGTAGAACATAAATCAGATTAATTATAAATGAGATTTGAGACAAAAAACATAATCATTATGCTTCCTTGACATCAGACATATAAAAATTTAAAGCAAAAAATAGCCCACAAAAATTCATATCTCTATAGAAAACGTTTTGGAGTCCAGCTCCATCATCACATCACTCCGTGATGATGGAGCTGGAATTGAATCTAGCAATTACATAAAAAGTCACAAATTAGTACAATTACCAAAACCTAAATTTACAAGTAACAGGGCAAAAAACCTATCTATTCACAATTTCAGGGGGATATGAGCTAACAGCTGAATTTAAATGGGGTTTAAACTCCCAGTTAAAATTCAGCAGAATAAAAAACTTCTAAGTTATAGTATTGTATTTTTAATTCACAGACAAGAGTTAGCCAGCTCAACAGGAGCAGCTGCTAAGTGACATGTTATACTACTTCAATGACTGTAACTAAAATGATAATTAGTCACTATTAATGAAATTGAATCATGCAAGAAATTTTTTCAAAGGATTACCAAATTGTAAATTTTCAGTGGCAAGCTAATTTTTGTAATAATTTAAAATTGAAATAATTTTTTAGACACAAAGATTATTAATATTATAAGTTAAAAATTGAATATTTTTTACATTTATATATTATTTTCATTATGTTTATATTATATTTTATATAATATTTTTCCATATTTCAGTGTTTTCACAGGTAAAATTTAGCTGGATAGACCAGGGTCCAGGAGGTCTGAACTTCAGAAGGAGGAGCAGAACCATTGCAAATTATCAATTTAGCATGGGTGATTATTTCTTATTTATATTCAGGAGGCTTCTGGCTGACTGTCCATTTTGAGCTGAACAAGATTAGAAGCAATTCATGGCATATTACAGCAATAATTTATTAATATTTGCTTCTGATGTATTTATCAGAGAATTTTTTTATACTTAAATTGCAATTGCTTTATAGAAAATAGAATAGAGAATAGAAGTGTTAGCACTGAAGAAATAGGCCCATGTGCTGTTTCTTTAACATTGTGACAAACCAGAGATTTTTTTAGAATCAGTTCATTTTTATTATCCTAATTTTTTAAGATTTAAACCAATTTCTTAAATGTATGATAATATGGTAAACATGATACTTTACTGGTCTACTTATAGGACTCAAAAATGAACTTGAGGGAGAGTAAAAAAAAAACTCTCTGCTTTGTCACTATAGGGTAAACGCGGTATATTCCGACATCGTAGGTAATTCTGTCACCTCTCCAGCTTTTCCTTTATATTAAGCTTTGTTTAAGTTCCATGCGTTCATTGATGGTTGAAATGGTGACATCATACATTTGCGTGTCGAAATACTGCAAAAACACTAGGTCTTGGCCATCTAGTGGGAAATTGCCACACAAAGTGACGGAATATAGGGATTTGGTAGGTTTCCATTCTAAAGGCTTTTTAATAAATATGGCAACATTTTGTGACGTTTCATCGTATGATCGTTGCTGACGCGTAGTAAAGTGTTTTGAGAGTCATGTGAAGGCAACAGAACTTACGTAATGAATACAGTTTTTTTTATAGTTTTTCATTTCTCGATGTGTCCTTAATGTGTCGGAATATACCGCGTTTACCCTACAGTTTCTTATAAAATATTATAAAATTGGTGCATACTTCATTATAGCATCATTGCTTCCTGGCCCTGCTCTCTTCTTTGCATAGAATTTCATGCAGTCCCAGCACCGGCGCAGTTCTATGACAGTCCGCTGAGTTACAGTGCTGGGATGATCATTGTAGATTTCAGTTATGTTTTGCCATGCTTTTTTCTTGGCTTGTACAGAAACTCCTTTTCTTCGTCCAGTATTGATAACCGAAGAATTTAGTCGTACAAGTTCTTGAAGCAATATTTTTTCATTGCTTGTAAACCACTTTTTCTTCTTTACGTGCAATTTATCCATATTTTAAACATGTAAACAAGAATTAAACAAAAACTCACAGATGGAGAGTAGCTGAAACTTGTAAATATTGCCTCCTGTTCCAGAATTAATATGAACGACGGATTGGCAGTTAATTGTCCGCATTTTAGGTTCGTGTTAAAATATTTCGTATTAAATTTAATAATATATGTATAGGAATTCAACAATCTTGCTCTGTAAAACGCGAAAAATATTTTGAATAGATATATATGTTTTACGACTATCGGAATACATTTTCACATAGTCTGATACATTTACCGAGGCGAATAAGATTATTTCATCACTGCATTGAGACTTGTTAATTAGGCATAAAGAGCTCGAATTTTTTCAATAGAATATCAGGCAGATTGTTGTTCAAAGTTTCATTCTATATACTGATACGTGTCGAGTTTCTTAGATCACAGATAATAAGTTATTTTCGGTTCACAATACAACTTAAGAATTAACCTTATAGGTGCAATGTGCCAGTTTGGTAACCAAAACTATTCCAGTTTCATACTTCCAGTATAAAGGAGTATAGCCCCTTTTTGATCATGACCTAAAAAACCTTTGGAAACGAAGTTCAATCAGTTTGTCAAGGAATAGAAGTCTATAAAATGCTGACTCATGAATTATTGACACCTAAGATAGCCCAGTAGTGATGATAACACAATGCAGTGGCAGTTTGAGTTAAGGCCTAAACTGTGGCAATGCTCTGTCCATTATCCAATGAAGAGAGAAAGCGACGACATAAAAAAAACTTTTGTGTAATACTGAAGCTCGGCATTGCATCGTTTCTGCATCGTAAGCTCAAACCATGAATAGATTTTACAGCTGTCGAATATAAGATGATCAATGAGATTCGGATAGTAATGAAAAGACCAGGTGCAGCACAGGCCGGTGTACACATGAGGCAGCGTCTATAAAACGACTACGGCAGAACTTCCAGCCACACTCATTCGGTGCAGGCAAGATACCCAGGTAAGAACCGTCCCAGCTCCCTGCTCGAGATTTTAGTAGTCCAGTCACTCAGTAACGTAAATTCATTAATTAAATGAAAGAACGATACCACCTGACTTCATGGTAAAAAATGAGATAACATATTTGCGATGACATGGAATATGGATAGTAATTAAAAAAAACATATATTTCAATATTTGATAAGATGGAAAGTATAGCGTTGGGAACTAAAATTTCTGTTCGCGTGTCTTGATCGTCCGAAAACATAGTTTATTTTCATAGGTGAGAATGTTATATTATCTCTATGGGTCATTAAATTGGGTAAAATGCTAGGTAAATTATAAAGCATGGAAATTTTTGGACATTGAATGGCAGTCGTCTCAGCCCCGATATGTATGAGTGACAACTATCATTTCCTTGCAGCGAGTCGCAGTCATGTTTCGTGTTTTCATCATCGCTGCCTTGGTCGCTGCAGCCTCGGCTGCTGGCAAATGCAAGGTGAGCCATTAGAATATATGTTCAGACTTGAAATGCCTAGCACCATATCGAACCCGGTAGAAGTCTAGTAGCTATTTCAAACTATCGTCAGTCATGAAAAGGTCCGGTCAAATGACACGATTTTAGATCTTCTATGAACAAGGCACGAAAAGGAAAAGAATCGGCGACAGGCCACATCAGGCCTCCACTTCAGCGCCGAGATCACTATCATACTATGTTATGTTAAATTATTAGTTATGGCTGTTCCACTTCAACAATTATATAGGCAATCAAAAGACTGTATTTTTTGGATGTAAAGGATTTTTGAACGAAATTTGTTACATAATTTTGAATTATCAAATTAGAATAAATATTGCAGAAAACCCTCATTCGAGAAGTTAAAATTGTTTCCAGAGCGACAATTTTAAATTTTTACGGTTTTCAGGGCCACATGAACTGACGAAACATTATTCCAAATTATCTTTTAAAAAGTTCAGCAAATTAAATTTCAAGGTTGAATGCTATAGGAACATTAAGGTCGTTTCATAGTTGCAGCAGGTCTAAGGAATTTTTCGGTGTGTCTATCATCTACCATTACCAACGTATTGTTCAACATGACATAAAGGCTGGATTTAACTGCGCAGGATCTGAAGGTGACACTCGGCTTGCCCGGGTCTGATGCCAACACGACCATCAACTATTCCGTCTGCCCCGAGGCGAACGTCATCACCTCTCAGGTGGTCGGCAACGAATACTTCCAGGGCGCGACCTCGTACGAGGACTACGATACGGTGAGTACCTCGTATCGGTCTCGCTTGCCAGCAATCAAAGGCCTAGGAAAATCCAAAGTCCATTTATTTGGTGTATGGAGCCAAATCTAGATATTTAAAGCTATTAAGTTATCTAGTCCTACACATTTAAGTAAGTCTGACATATCATGGATGTTTACAGTCATTTTGCAGACATGAAAAATATATCTGAAAATGTAGCCTATATGATACAACAAATATTTGTTTTTCATTCATCTCCAAATACAAACAACAATTCCAAACAATATCCAGGGTGTGGATTTGAAAATTTAATTTCTTGCTTACTAAACTTAGTTTGGGCTTGGTATTTCGTATGGGAAATTCAGAAACCACCATGACTAACACGTAAACCTTAAGACAATAAAATCGCAGCTTCATTTGCACTCACATCCCGCCTGTGAAGGCAAATAACCTCATCGCCTGCATCCTCAGGGTTACGGTGCGACCCGTGACGCTGAGAAGGAGGAGTGTTTGGTGCAGAAGCTGACTGTGTCGTCCCTGAAGGAACAAGCTGCTGAATTAGCAAAGCAGTCCAAGCAGAATGTCAAGACAACCGGTAATGTCAGCCTCATCAAGGTCCCCGAGGATGAGCCCGAGTCTGAATTCGGCAAACGCATTGCCAATTTCTGCGGCAACTACCCAGTCTACAAAGTTGGTACTGACAACGAAGAGACACGCGTGGCTCCTTTCGAACAGGAGAACAGGCAAGTCACTTACACCTTCACCAAGTGCTTCATCCTGAGGTGCTTCTTTTACTACACTTGCTATACTACCACCCTCACCATCCCCACTGGTACAACCGTCACCTTCTTCTGGTTCTTCGGATAAACGGCAACGAACTACGTTGTTCTTATGATATCAAATCTTCATTCTTGTAAATGCCATCACTGTCACGTGGATTGAAGGAATCATAAGACATGAACGGCCTACTCGACGACTTCTCTTATTGCTAATATATCGGTCTCAATGATGTCTACACATCCAATAAAATACAGCACAGACAACAGCATATCATTTCTTCCCGGAATTTCAAGATATATTTATGCCAGTATGCGCACAGCTAAACTGGCATAAACACAGCTAAAATATGATCAGACAAACTGAAATCGGGAGTACGTATGGGCTGAATCTAAAATTTCATTCATTGACGAACAGGAATTTTTCATGTTCATTTTTTGGCTGAGCAAACAGATACTATACATAAAACGATCTTCGGATCTTAGTTAGTTAGTCTAATGAGAAACTGAGATGATCCGAAAATTCTACCTAATTAGTTTCATTTGAAGAGGCTTCAGGCTCTTTCACGAGATCAAAGTATGATGAATGGGCCAGGCGTAGGAAAATCTAAAAACCTGTCTCGCGAAATGCGGACAGAAAATCGAGTTCATCAATGCTGATGCTGACAGTTATAGTCACGTAGGCTGGCAGGAGTGAAAACTAAGCCCAGGGTTTCGTTCAATAGCGCACCGGTTCATGGAAATATTCGCGAAGAGTTCACAAACAATAATAGAATTCTTTTGACGAGCGATCGATCCGAGGACACCTTTCAGGCGGCCAACATCATGTCAGTATATGTTAATTATAGATTTGTTCTCCGAGTTATGGTAAGGATTGAGGCACTCGATGTTATCATGAGCCACTCATTGATGATGACGATGTTCATCTTACACTAACATCTACAACGCTAGCTCAACTCAACATCAAAAAAAGTCCAAATCAAAGGCAAGGCAATGAAAACTGTTGAAATAACTTGCATTTTTCTTCTATAAAAACGGAGATCCATAAATGATTGTGAACAATAAAAAATGAAAATAGAGTAAAGAAAATAAAAAATTAAGAAATATCGAAGTTGATATAACTAAATAATCTTAAATACTCTTCAAAGAAGGCTTATCATATTCGACTATAGACGAAGGAAGGCGTAAGCGCGACCACATACATTATTCCCTGCAACATTGCACTTCCTATAGAAAATCAAAAGATGATACAATTAGCGAACGAAGTATAATGGCTTCCATAAAAATCGAAGCTTAGAAGAAGCACGGCAACACCAGCCGACATTACGCTTCGACCACACGGGAACAATCCTCCAGGAAAGAATTTTATTCCATTTGTTCAGAAACGATTTGTTTATGGCGCTACATTTAAATAGATTTCGCTGCACAGTGGACATCTCTCGCACATAATTCAAGGAGTCTTATTTGATAAGGAAGTGTCCGACTTATTATCTATAGTAAAGTGGATATTATCTTCAAAACTATTCAGTCAGTAACTCAAGGCTTAACGGGAAAATTTTCACATTAAAATTTTTGTTATTACCTGCCGACCTTTTATTTCATTAAGATAATATCAATTCGTCCAAGAGACTAGGTTTTTATGCAATTGAACAAAAAATATTACTAACTGAGATTTTTATCTGTTAAAAACGAATTGACGAACATCCGCTGGACTCCTACAATTTCATTAAGAAGCATGAAGGTGCGCCTCAAAAGCGGCGAGGAATTACGACCTTCCTTCGCTCTAAGGGAGAAAGTTTGCTCGACTAGCAACTTGATAATCATGAGATGGCGATAAGAACAATTGGTGATGGCAGAGAAAAACTAGTGATAAAACATATGAGCTGTAGTTGAAACCTGGGTGGGGGTAAAATAAACTGTGTAAATGGACACATGTAAGAGAGATCGTCAATCCTTAATATAGTTGTAGGAAATATACATGATATAACATTAGTGATCATAAAACATACAATTACCGGAAACAATACATGCGGCAATTATTTTCATTACATGACCTATTAAGTTAGGATCAACTCAGCTAGCCGTCCTGTAATCGCTTAAAAATACTTCTAACGCGCAAATATCGTAGCTTATCTTCAAAGTTTGCTAGCTATTGCTTAGCGAGTGAAGAGGAGCGCGCAGGGATGCTCCGCTCTGCGATCTCTTCCTGCAACTTCCATAAGCAGAAACGGCGTCTCTCGCTCCACTTAATTAACAGATTTAAAGCCTGGCGAGTTAGAGAGTATAATAAGACACTGAAAGAAGCATCTTAAATACAAAAGAAAATATAGCAAATTCAACAAATAACGCTTAGCTAAATAGTAACCTACGACGTAAAACCTGCAAATGTAGCGAGGAGGCAAACTAAATAGTCTTCTCAAACACCCAGAAATCAAAAGAAGAAATACAGCAATAAGAAGACATAATAATTTGAGACTCTAAAGTGAGCTTCCATATCTCAGGACACAGTAACAAGTGGGATCTTGAAGTGAGCAAGAAATTCCTCAATCAAGTTTATTTACCTAATAAATGAGACTTCTTCAGGACTTAATTTAAGTCAAGAAAATTAAAGGAATTTATTAAATTGTGATGAGAAAATCGGCCAAGTATCAAAAAGTGTATGTAAATTCAAGGATGCTTCCAATGTCATTAAGAGATGGTTTTTCTAAGAGCATTTACAGCACGCCATTTACACAGGCACCGTACAGTTCTCGTATTCAGGTTATCTAGGCCAGTGACATGTTTCAAGAAGTTATTTGTATATGTATAAACGTTCTAGTACATTAATTAGCTTAATAATTGAAAATTGTAAGAAATATCTCTAAACACACATACTCAACCCAAAGCTATTGTCATATACAGAAAAATTACAAAGGTTTAAATATATTTCAGCAATCAACATTTAATGCAGCAATCGAGAGCGCTTCCTTGCGAGTGGCCGCTTCTAATTATTGGTTACAAAAAGATATAGACATAAAATAGTTTTCAAGGATCCTGCATTTGAGATTAAACAAAAAACATGTAAAGCTTGTACAACTATTTAGCGCAATAAACTAAAAACAATAACTTGCATGGCAAGCCAATATGAACTTTATTTAGTAAAATACGTAGCATTCAATTAGTTAACTCGAATCCTCATTCAGCATCCAGTTAATTCACTAGCTGGTTTTTGGTCACATTCAATCCTTGCGGAAGCATTTCCTTCAAAACACGGAACAACGAGGCACGTTTTAGCCTCCAACGCAATTATCCATACTAATGTTAGCTAACACTAACCTAATGATAAAGTTATTTTTATAATAAGTTATTCAAAATGCAACTCATTTAACGAAACATTTAAACTGCATAAAAGTTACTCAGGAATAAAATTTCAAAGTTGATGCAAATAATGATCACATTATCCTCATATATCACCTGACCATCAAATATCACATAATCATCACGAAAACTGCAAGACGCCAATTCACTTGGAAACGGCCGGATATTCATTTCAATTTCACCACGAAGAGAGATGGAACAATTCCGAACTTGAAGTCAAAAGTGGTAATAGTTTTCGATAACAAAAATAACCTATCCTTGTGCATTAAAGTCTCAGGAGATGCAAAAAGTCATACCGGTATATTATTTAATTTCAAAAGACTGACCTAAGAAACGCGACAAAATTTAAATGCTCATAACTTTTCTTCATTTAATGCTGCTCTGGCGATGAACACTTAGGTCCGACTGGCAAATTTAAAATTGCCAGGATAAAGTGGACTCTCCGTTCGTAACGAGGGCACTGCTGGAAATTTTTATTGAGGAGTGATTGTCATCAGGTCCGTGGCCATCGTATAGAACTAAACGCAGGTTCATGCATTTCTATCAGGACTAAGGTGCCGCGCTACAAGTATTAATGAAATAAATTCAACCCCAGTCATTTTCAGAACAGAATAATTACCATTTAAATGGCGACTTAAATGTATATACAGATCTAACTCAAATAATGGACAATTACTCTAGAAAAAAACAGTCAGTGTGCGCAGATAAATTGCAAATTCAACTAGAAAACAAAAAACTAATTCAAGCTCAAAGCACAGATCGCTGTTTAAAGGAATCTACATGGTAATCCTACCGTGCATTAAAATAATTTATCAATCCGAAGTACAACTTTCAACGGGATAAAATCGAGGAATCGCATCATTGCAGTCCAATCGAAATGCTACCAAGTCATCGGAAAAGCACAGTAAGGCAAAATTTCCTTATTTTTGTCCATACGACCACTCCCATTTTCCTCTACTAACTGAAGGTACTTGTGCAGGTTTTCTACCATCATTATAGTACTACACGCTCCCTAGCTTATGAAATAGCTACCACTTGCCTATAGATAACATCTATCAGTAATGAGAGACAACTAGAGAAGACTGGACGCTTAGGCTAAGTTTTCTTCAATCTATTCCGTGCGCAAATATCATGACGAGGCCGGGCTCGAGGAGCATGTCGTCGTTCATGTGACGGTTATCACACGCCATCACCACAACTGCTTGCTTGCCGGGCACACGACGACACACGTAGCTTTCGTACTGCCGTCTGTTGATCTGTTGACAGAGAGAACAATTAGTGTGTGTAGTGCAGTGAAAAAGTGGACGAATGTGGCTAGCGGCGTCTGTTGATCTGTTGACAGAGAAGAAAATTAGTGTGGGTAGTGCAGAGAACAGGTGGAAGAATGTGGCTGGTAGCGTCTGTTGATCTGTTGACAGAAAGGACAGTTAGTGCGCTGTGTAATGCATTGAACAGGTGGACGAATGTGGCTAGTAGCGTCTGTTGATCTGTTGACAGAAAGGACAGTTAGTGCGCTGTGTAATGCATTGAACAGGTGGACGAATGTGGCTAGTAGCGTCTGTTGATCTGTTGACAGAAAGGACAGTTAGTGCGCTGTGTAATGCATTGAACAGGTGGACGAATGTGGCTAGTAGCGTCTGTTGATCTGTTGACAGAAAGGACAGTTAGTGCGCTGTGTAATGCATTGAACAGGTGGACGAATGTGGCTAGTAGCGTNGTCTCGAGGGTGGAGAGGCCAGGAGGCATCACTCACTTGTCTGGTCTCGAGGGTGGAGAGGCCAGGAGGCCACCGCCGCTCGTGCGCGTTGTCCATGAGTTGGTCGATGATGTGGGGAGGCGCGCCACTCTCGCTCAGCGAGCGCCGTATCACGGCCTTGAATGATTATCATTGATTAAAATTATTAAATTAATAAAAATTTATTGATTAAGAAAGATACATTTCAGACTCTACAACGAAAACTGAACAACTTTCCAGGGACTTAATTTGCGATGCCTGCCCGCCTCATTCCTGACCAATCTACATGAGTCTTACAGTTTGCCATAACTTCAGTCGCGGATCGAATTTATTATTCACGACGATACACAATTTTTCAACGCATTAGAAGAGTTTTCTACCGTAAATATGCAAGGTTTTAAGCACCGATGGCCCCACCTGCAGCACAGCGTCGGGCGTCGAGATCATGCCACCCCAGCGTGTGACGCGCGCCCTGGCGAGGGAGGCCGACCACCGCGCCACCTCGTCCTCCTCCATCTGGTCCGCGATGGCCCGCATCGCAGGGTTGCTGATGCGCATCGCGCGCATGAAGTCCTGCACAACAGCCACACTCATTCCTGACAAACTCTCGTGAAATTCACCTATTAGTTAATGAATCTGCGTTACAGAAATAGAAGCAAGTAGCGCTGTAATTGATTCACTTTATAACAGTTATAGAACTACCGTATATGTGGCTGCCAGTCTGGCATGAATACAATGCCAACAAATCAAAACATATTTGTCCCAAGACCATTTAGTGTAAAAATCATACACGAGTTCCCAAATTGATGTAGCGGCTCTACCTTGAGTAGCTGAATTTCCCTCTTCTGTTCAGTGAGGGAGAACTTGCTCTCTGCCAACTCCTGCTGCAGCTCGACGATCTTGCCGCTCTGGTTCTGGATGAGCACGCGCAGCTCGCGCACGCAGTTGTGCTCCTGCAACAACCCAAGCAATAATTGTCTTGTTTACTGGAGATACGAGCTGTACAAGGGGCGCAATAATTGTTTTGTTTACTGGAGGTATGAGCTATACAAGGGGCGCAATAATTGTCTTGTTTACTGGAGGTATGAGCTATACAAGGAGCGCAATAATTGTCTTGTTTACTGGAGATATGAGCTGTACAAGGGGCGCAATAATTGTTTTGTTTACTGGAGATACGGGCTATACAAGGGGCGCAATAATTGTCTTGTTTACTGGAGGTATGAGCTATACAAGGAGCGCAATAATTGTCTTGTTTACTGGAGATACGGGCTATACAAGGGGCGCAATAATTGTCTTGTTTACTGGAGATATGAGCTGTACAAGGGGCGCAATAATTGTCTTGTTTACTGGAGGTACGGGCTGTACAAGGGGCGCAATAATTGTTTTGTTTACTGGAGATACGGGCTATACAAGGAGCGCAATAATTGTCTTGTTTACTGGAGGTACGGGCTATACAAGGGGCGCAATAATTGTCTTGTTTACTGGAGATACGGGCTATACAAGGGGCGCAATAATTGTCTTGTTTACTGGAGGCACGAGCTATACAAGGAGCGCAATAATTGTCTTGTTTACTGGAGATATGAGCTGTACAAGGGGCGCAATAATTGTTTTGTTTACTGGAGGTACGGGCTATACAAGGGGCGCAATAATTGTCTTGTTTACTGGAGGTACGGGCTATACAAGGGGCGCAATAATTGTCTTGTTTACTGGAGGTATGAGCTGTACAAGGGGCGTAATAATTGTCTTGTTTTCTGGAGATACGGGCTATATATATATACAAGGGGCACATATCATAACTTGACATTGGCTCTAACTCAATGACGGGAGAATGACATTAAATTGATAACGAGAAAATAAAAATAAACTCAATGAAACTCAGGTATTTTTAGGTTAGTTTCCTGAAGCCGGAGATGTCTAAAAAACGACTAGAATCGCTCGAACTTTTGAAGAAACTAATAAGAACTACATTAATACATAAATTATAGGCTCATAGCACAGCATAGTTTATCGGCGCTGAAGAGTAGGCCTGGTGTGGCCTGTCATTCATGAACAAATGGCTGTGTGGTTCATGAACAAATGGCTTTCTATAGGCGTTGGGTATTACAGTTAATCATTGAACACTCGTCTAAACGAATAAAAATTTAAGTAGACGAAAGGATGAAAATGAAGACATGAAGTTTAATTTCAAGATAATACTACATACCTTGAGTTCATCCTTGGGCACGACAAGACCACAGCCAGCTTCACAAGGGATGGGCCTCTTAGGGTTGTGCTCACACTCCTCCAGATGCGGACCCAGCATCTCGAGCTTGACGACAGCGTTGCAGCCATGCTCCCTGTTGCTGCAAGCGATCTGCAGTCTGCAAACGTCAACGCTAACAGTGAAACTACCGAAAAAATATAATCGAAACACTAGGCAGGACGAGACTACATTCAAATCGCTCTGAAACTAATTGCATACTGAATTTTTTAGCTAAGAAGTATAAGTTCTTGATCCTTACTATTAAGAAGAAGAATCAGTACTAAGAAAATGCCTATGCATAGCCTGAATTGCGGTAATGTGCCGACATTGTAGATACTCCGAAGCTTAAGTCTTACTATAGGTAGGTACTTTCAAAGGACACAATTTAGAGAAGCTGCATCTACATGTGATAATAATACTCAAATGTTATACAAGTAAACTGGACACATGAGCGCAGGTGCGACCCACTTGGCAAGGAGAGTGCGGAGGATGCGTGGCACAGGCTTGAGCTGCGAGGTGGTGATAGACTGGCGGTCCACAGGGCAAGTTTGCTGGCGTCCGAGCCACTCGTTGATGCAGCCGCTGCAGAACGCGTGCTCGCACGCGGGTGCCTGCAATATTACAACAGCGTTTCAGGTTACTGGGGAATAATGAAAAAGATTTGCCTGTTATTCTAGTTTCTGGTAATTTTCTATGAAAAACATATGGTAAAAGATGGAAAGCCCCCCAAAAAAGTCATGTAAAATTTACCATTTCTTCTGATATGGCGAACTTACTCCAACAATGTTTCGGAGACCGAGGCGCCGCAGCTCAATCATGAGTTCAAGAATTTACAGTACTACACAAATACAATCAAGAAAATTAACTAATTGTACGGTACATTTCATACTAAATTGAATGATGTTCAAACTTTTAACACTTTATCTATTGATGCATTAACCGTCATCAATGCTACTCATATCTAATGGCCTGGACTCGAGTTGTTTGTTTACACGAATGGCCCTCAGCAAACAAAGGGTTAATACTCACACAGTGATTATAAAATTTGTTTCCCCTCCTACGACATGAATTTCGAATTTTAATTCATTCATAATATAATTCATCTGAATGGATTTACATAGGAATGAGTGTTTAGTACAAAAGTTTTTGTTTAAGAGATATTCCGATTCTGTTGCTGCTGTTGATGGTAGGAAAAACTAATTTAGTGCTTGACCCTAATTTCAGAGCTAGTTTGAAAAAATGTGCAGAGAATTTCAAACCTTGCTTAAAAAATATTTTCTGAATATAAACTCGACTTGCATGTTCACTGGTAAAACTTTCAAAAATGATTCCATCTTCAGGCATAAGAATGTTATTCCTGCCCTCATGCAATCGTACATGGTTTATAAATGCAGTTGTGCTTGATGTGCATCAGAGTATGTTGGAAATTGTCTCATAGCTTTTACATCAGGGTTAAGAAACACCGCAACAGGAATGGAAAGTTCTGAATTTCCACTTGCTCACCCATACTTCTGTGTTGTGTGCATTAATGGTCGCTCAATCTGGCGCCTGAGTTTCAATGATGAAGAATTAGGTATGTAATTGCTGCATATTTCAGATGGAAATCTTGCCTTTATAATGCTGAAGAGGGCTGCAGAGAATTAGCTACATTTTACAGTATAATTATTCAGTACCAACTATATGAAGCTGCACTTTGAATTAGCTGCAATTGAACTTCTATAGATGCACTTTATTTAGTTGCATTTTAAGTGCATCATTTAGTTTAGTGTCACTTCATTTAGTTGCCTGTCAAGTGCATAATAATCCTATGCATACAATTAATCGTCCTTGTTTCTCTTGGTGTAATGTTTATGTTGAGTCAGAATAAATGATACCTAAATCTTGCAAGTCTCAATGTTAAGCAATATAGAGATTCAATGGTTTCACCTGATTATTTGCCAACTCTTCACAGGCCTGCTTCAAATATATTAATGCCTGCTTCCATCTACAGCTCTGCTTGCTAATCCCATCCCTGTGCTCCATTTTGGTGAGTGCAGTTCATCTTATTTTATTACCTATGTCACCATTTGTGTGTTTTTTTTATGTTGTTGAGATCTTAATAAATGATTCTTGTCATTCATGCATGTTTATAAATAATGCTAGGTATTTGTTACCTGATCCCATGTTTGTCTGGTTTTTCATCATTACTATCTTCATTTTGCTTGCTTATGCCATGATGTGTCCACCCTTGAATAACTTTATAGTCAAATGAGGTAAGACAGGATCGCAGCCTTCATGGGGTAAGAAAGGACCGACCCACTGCATGCATTCTAATTGTACGGTACGGTACCTACTGAATTTAATTTGACAAAAGAATATGTTAGAGCAATCATTGCCTGTCATTTCAGTGTTTGTTTCAACCCTCTTCTGCAAATAATTAATTTTTGGTTAATTTTCAAAGAAAACCTAAGTAAAGAAGGGTCACAAAATAGTTAACCCTGTTTGGGAAATAAGCTGTGTCTGATTACAAAAAATTTTTTGGCCAGGTTTGTGGATGTAGGCAAGTAACCTCAAGTAACAAGCAACTTTCGAGACATACTAGCCATTCCTACCTGCTACCATCACTACCTGACAACTATTCTAAAATGGGGTAAAAAAAGACCGGACATGGGGTAAGACAGGACCACTAAATGATCCTGTTTTACCCCACAAGTGGTCCTATCTTACCCCACAAATGGTCCTGTCCTACCCCACAATTGCCACAAGCAGTCCTCTTTTATCCCATAGTTTATCAAAATATAGCCTTTAAATTAATATATTATTGTGCATAAGTATACATAGAGTATTTTGGTCAAAATTTTCATCTTTTGCTTAAAATAACCATTCTAACTTGTTAGCTTTTTTTATTAGATAAATTTAGCATACTATTGTGAATTGCATCATGGGGATGGAGAAAATAGGGATGTCTCTTCCCATTATAGTGAGCTGCAGAACAATGTGCAAGAGTGGTTAGGGGAAAAATCATTGTGTGAAACATAAAAAATAATTATTTCAATTTTGTGAGAGGGCATGGGCTATGTTTGAAGAAGTGCACCACAAATGCAGTTAGCAAGAAAATGCATGACGTCCGACTCTTAACTTAAATTTTCAGACAAGGACACTAATGGAATATACATGTAGCATTTGGCAGTGCTCTACAATGAATCAAAGCCAACCTACTATTTCTATGCTTAACAAAGTTTTCTCGTGGCAAAAACTCCAATGTGACTGATATTAGAGTTGACTTCCTGTAACACAAAACAGTACTAACAAGTGGTTGTTTAATCAAATAATGTGTTTCTAGATGGATAATATTGAATATCAGATTTATATTTTTACTAAAAACCTTGTAACATAAGAATTACCTGTTGGCCCTTTCTTACCCCAGCCTGATCCCATCTTGTACAGAAAACTGTGTTGTATGCAAAAAGTCTGAGTTGTAGCTTTGAAAGTATCTACCTCTTAGTAGAGGTAGATACTTTTCCAAAATCTCACTTTTCAAACTTTTTTCAGGGATTTTTTAGAGATAGTAAATGTATGATTTGTCAATTTGCTTTATGCTACATACAGGTCAATATGAAAAATGTTGAACTTTGCACCACTATTTTTAGTTTTGAAATATTTCAATTAGTTTAGCAGCTACATTTCTACAAAATGTTGGACTACTGTCCCTTATTACCCTGCCCATCCCTTATTAACTCATTTGATAGTACTTGAACAATTGAATTGCTGCTTCTGTAGGTTTATGGTTAATTTAAACATTCAAAAGTCTGATCACCACATCCTTGGTGCTCAGAGCACCACATCCTTGCTCCGCTGGCAGAAGATGCCAGCGGAGCACAAGATACAATCAGCGCACAAGACACTATTCATGCAAAAGACATAATCAGCCCATTAACAAAATTGGCACAACACTTGATTGGCACATAAGCAGAAAGAAAATCTCATAAGTATATTAAATTTAAAAACTAAAAGAGAAACTCGAGTGAACTTGAAGTAAAGCAAGGATAAATCCAGAGTTAAGCCAGAGTTAGGCCAAACTGATGATGGAGTGAAGACAGAGGAATATAATCCAGAGTTAAGCCAGAGTTAGGCCAAACTGATGATGGAGTGAAGACAGAGGAAAGAGTATAAAATAAGGCAATTGTATGCCAGTCACATAGGAAGGCTTCAAACAAAGACATTTAATGGCATGAATAACAGACCAAATAAAGACTCTCTAAGCTTGATAATTAAGCATTGTGGATTGACATCATTCAGTTGAGGTTGAGATGGTGCACTGCCAGCAGCAACGTCAGGGTGTTGGTACAAATCTAATTTGAAGAGTGCCAGCAAGTATACTTCTCATTTTATAATAATGGTATCCAGTTGTCTGTTTGTTAATATTTACATGCAAAAATAATTGATCATTTTGGTCCAAGCATGAACATAAGTCCTCTAAAGCACTCAATTCTATATTGTTGGTGCATTTCTATCACTGGCTTCATTCTGGGCTAGTTGGAAAAGGCCTATTTTTTCAAAACTAAAAATAGTGGCGTAAACGTCAACATTTTTCCTATCTATGTAGTATAAAGGAAGTTGAAAAATACTACATTTACTTGCTAGTATTCAACCAAGTATTAAATTAAAATAATGCGGATTTATTGTTTTGTACGAATACTTTTTTCACCCCGAAAAGCGAACATGTTGCATTGTTTTTTGTTGCATTGAGATTTAATTTCTTTTGATAGTATTTTTGAATACTATGCGTCTCTATACATAATTTAAATCACTTTTCCTGTTAAGTTTGTGTACTTACATACATTAAAATACGATTTTTCAAGTGTACGAATATTTATTTCCCCCCACTGTATGTAGCAAAAAAAATATTCGCCGTATTAAAAAATTTTACTTAAGTAAACGTTGCACCCAGGTGTTGGCTTGAAAACGTAATTGACAGAATTTGCCTATCTCATTCCAAAAAGAAATGGCAGCCATTTCTGCACAGCGGGGCTACTCAGGACACCACCCCCGGGGCTATTCGGGATACCCCCCAAAACGCATTTACGGTAGAACCTCAGTTAGCAAAGGCTCCAATTACGAAAAAAATTGATTAAAAACAAAGAATATTGATAACATTTTCCTTGCTCATTAAAAAAATTTCACTTATCGAAAAATTAGTGCATCATCAGTCATCACAAAATTGTGCATAGCATGTCATGTATAGAATTGTGCACCAGGCATCACAGAATGAAAAGTAATTGACCTAAACTATGATTTATTTCTCCAAAAGATATACACGTTGGTTGTCACTGAAACATTCCTTACTGTTTCAGGTATGTTTTTCATGATCTTTTTTACTATAGTAAATTCACTTAACCCAATTAAAATGTGAAATTACGAGCCATCCTGTAAGCTTACAGATACAAAAAAATGCTATAAGGCTGCTGATATGAAGCTTGCAGTGGACAAGGTTGTTGTAAATGCTCAATGGCATGTTCATGGATACGGTAATATCGCATCAATAATACGATAATTGCACATCAATAATACGGTAATTAATGTATATGGCAATATCATATCAATAAAGGAAAAACAAGTAAAAATCACAGAA